TCTATGGATATTTATCTCCCTGTATTATGATGCTCAGAGCAGCTGCCTCTTGTTTCTGATTTATTTAAAAAAGAAAAGTAAAATGTTTTGTTCCACTGGGAACAAAATCAGTAGAAAACCCTGCCTAAAGAATTTGAAAAACTACTTGGACAGCAAGCAAACTGCTGCATTTCATCAAGAGTGAATTCAAGTTCAAAATGTAAAAGCAGTGAGGCCAGCAAGGCTTTCCAAGTTCAACATTATGTCAGTTTATGATCTTCATTAACATGAATGCAAAACAAGAAGAGATACTTACTGTCTCTCTTTCGCAAACAGTCTTCTATGTTTTTAACCTCTTTTGTCCATCCACTGAAGTCTTTACAAAAGGGCTTTATAAATTCGATCTTTATATACATCATAGTACATATATACTTCATTTTTTGTTCCTACTTTATTAGTGTAGTAATTTGAATCAGTTTTCATTTTCAACCCTCAAATGTTGGAGGTGTCTATTAAAGCTCCATAAAAATCACTGACTAGAACTGTGGAAGAGGCTGGCTATGCCCAATCTGCTGACTGGAATGAGGAGAGCCAATATAAAAGCATCAGATCTGGGAGGAAGGTGATGAGAACAATACAGAAGTTGCTACTACCTTCTTCACTTGAGGGTTGCCTATACTTGTGAAACTGGGGAACAGCAAGTTCTCATCAAGATAATGAAAACAAATGTGTCAGTACTGGTTTCCATGATAATCTATGAAAGTTTAAGGAACTTAATTTTTTCTTAATAGGCCCATAATAATTCTCCTACCATATCTATTTTTTTGTTCCTACAGCCTAAAAAGAATGAAACAACTCTTCCTGAAAATTGGGAAAAAAGAAACCGGAGAATATATTTATTCAACTGTAAAACCATTTGTCAAGAATTATTTTGTAGTAGAGTATTACACCTAAAAATAGAACTATAACACAAGCTTAAAATTAAATACATCTAAACAATCCTTAACTAAAGTACTGTGCCATTAGCATCCTTGTAATTTGTAAGTTAAGCACCTTGTTCTTTTGTGGTTTATACATGGCTAATTTTAGCAGTGATGCAGACCGCTATTACAAACATTTACCTGAATCATCACTAAAAAGAACAGCCTTTCAGCAAGAAAATGTACACACAGGATACCTGACTGAGTGCTTTGTAAAGGTTTTGTTTTGGTATTATTTATATTAATACTTAATGAAAAAGATGATGTAATAGACTTTTATATCTGCAGTTTCAAGTGGTAACTGGGATTTAGAAACTCTATCTTATCTATAATATTGCTATGGCTTGTTATGATAACTGGTGGTGTATTCATTGCCCTTCCCTTGGATAAAGATAAGCAACTGTTCTACACCTTTATGGAACCAGATGACCAAAATGATAGAAACTTGACCCAAAAAACACAGATGCATGTAGGCAGAGGGGCCTTTCTGCGTACTGTCTTGTGAAAAGGGGTAACATGTAATATGTTTGTATTTTGGACCCTCTCCTCGGACCACAACCTTGTCATGGTGGACAGGCTTGTGTGTTCCAATGACCCTCAGAGCTATGTCATCTGGAGTCTTGCACTCCTAGTAGGGTCTCCCCTGGCGAATGTATCCAAGGTGAGGTTCCAGACTAAGCATGGTCCAAACTCCTGAAGACCCCAATGGTGAAACAGGCATACTTGAAGACCTGCTGGTTCTCTGTGGCTGTGAATGTGGATGAGGGCTGCAGTGGGATGGAGGTTTCTAATTGTCTTGGACATCCTTGCCAGTATTCAGGGCTCCTTCTTGTCAAGCTGATGTGCTCGTCACTTGCGCACCAGCTTCCCCACGTTAAAAGAAGTTATGCACAGCACTCTGCCAGGGATGTTAACATCTCCCACAAACCAAGTCCTGTGGTGACGGACAAGTGGCAGTGGGACAGAAACAGTGATTTCTGGCAGTCCCTAGTCACAAATCTGCATGTAAGTGGCAGTTGTGTGATAGTCATTTTGCCATAACTTACAGACACAGAAGTACAATTTGGCATCTGCGGCTGTGACTGTGCAGTCCTCTCCTAGCTTTCCCCCTCCGTGGGGTACCCACAAAGCAGAGGGGGCTGGGGCCTTATGGTGCCTCATCCTTGCCTTTCACTGGAGAGGCACAGGTGTGGCATTTCTTGAAGACTGCCACACCACACCATCTAACCCCCACAGGGTGTCGTTTCAGGTCTTACCTAGGACCACAGGAACCTCCTCCATGCCCATAGTTCTTACCCTAACCTCCAGATGTTTTAGAAGCTGTTCTCCTCAGGCTGTCTGATGTTGCTCCACTGGCTCCCTAGATGCAACTGCCAGCTCAGTTCCTAGGGCCTGGGCTTATACCCTAGCTGCCCAGCCCTCATTCAATCTGGGTTCCCCCCTTGTGGTCATGTGACCACATAATTGGGCGTAACTGCACCTATTGGCTGCTCCACAGCCTGCTCAAGCCCCTTAAAGTGGTGGGTACCAAATGTGCCCTGCCACAACCCTCCAACCAGCAAAAACAAGAGACTTATCAACGGGACATCAACAACCAGTGGTGGTAAGCAGAGGCCATGAAGATCTAGAGTTTTGCTGACCAACATGACATGAGAAGCTTCTTTCAAACAATAAAAAACATCCACAGGCCACATTCCAATGGCCCAACCTCCTTGTGATCCCAGGATAGTTCCACCCTTCTCATGGACAATGTATCCGTCAACGAACACTGGAAGGAGTACTTCAAGACTCTACTCTACCACGAATCTGACATCTCAGCTGACACCATCGAGTCCATCCCTCAACACGAAGTAATAGAACCTTTTGCTGATCCTCCATCCTTCAAGGAAGTCTGGCGTGCCATCACTCAGACGAAGAACAATAACGTGCCAGGGCCAGGTGGCATCCCTGCAGCAGTCTTCAAAGCTAGTAGAAAAGCAGTAGCACAAAAATTTCACCAATTTCTCATCAAAATATGGGTTAATGAGGAAGCTCCACCTGACTTAAAAGAATGCCAACATTGTGACCATTTTCAAGAAAGGGGACAAGTCAGTGTATGGGAACTACTGAGGCGCTGCCCTCCTCTCCCTTGCCAGGAAGATTCTTACTCACATCTTTCTGAATTGCCTCCTCCCACTTGCCTTCCAAAATCCCAGTGTGGCTTTAGACCACCTTGGGGTACCACCAACATGATTTTTGTTGCGTGACAGATCCAGGAGAAGTGTAGCAAGCAACACCAGGAGCTGCTTATGGCACTCATTGACCTAACCACGGCCTTCGACTCCATCAATCTTGAAATCTTATGGAAGGTGCTGGCTAGATTTGGTTGTCCACGGAAGTTCATCAGTGTCCTCAGGCTACTGCATGATGGGATAACCACCACCGTCCTTTGCAATGGATCAGAGACAGACCCATTTATCATCTGTACTGGTGTCAAGCAGGGCTGCATCATAGTCTCAACCTTTTTTTTCCCACCTATCTTGCTGTAATTTTGATTCTCATCCATGACTGCCTTCCTCCCAGAATTGGGATTGAGTATCAAATGGACAGTCAAGCTTTTCAACCTGCAGTGCCTTTACAGCAAAACGAAAATTACCAAGACTGGCATCACTGGCCTTCGGTACACTGACAACTGTGTTGTTATCCTCACACACAATGAGACTGATCTGCAGTCAAGCCTTGATTTTTTTCTCAGGTGCCTATCACAGCGTGGGACTCTCCCTTAACATTGGGAAGATCAAGGCGCTCCATCAGCCTGCCCCAGCACAAGCTGCCTCTCTCCCCCAACAAATTACCACTGATGGAGAATCTGTGGAAAACATTTCTCATACCTTGGCAGTCACCTCTCCCAGTCACTCAATCAGTCTTGATGTAGAAATCAAACATAGGATTTGCTGTGCCAGAGTATCTTTCAGAAAGCTGCTTCACCGTGTCTTTGTTGACTGAGATCTGCAGATGGAAACTAAGATCCTGGTCTACAATGCAGGGCTGATCCCCACCCTCCTCTATGGGTGTGAGACGTGGATGATATACAGAAGCCATCTTAAGCACCTCGAATGTTTCCATCAGCGTTGCCTCAGGAAGATCCTCTGCATTAGATGGGAAGACCCCAATGCCAGGACCCTCTCTGCCACTAATATAACCAGCATTGAGGTAAAGATCACAAAATGTCAACTCTGCTGGGCTGGCTGCTTTGTGCAGATGGCTGACACTCAGCTCCAAAGCAAGTCCTCTTCTCTCAACTTAGTCATGGTAAGAGGACCCACAGAGGATAGATGAACACCTACAAGGACATCCTGAAAGCATAACTTAAGAAGGGTAGCATCATCCCTACAAATTGGGAAGTGCTGGCTGGTAACAGGTCTAATGACGCTGCACCATACATCAAGGCAGAGCCCACTTCAAACAGAACCGTCTTGCTCAGGAATCCAAAAAATAACAGAAGAGGAAGGAAAGCACACAACATCCTAGCCAACAGTTACTCCCCCCTCCCCCCCCAGAGCATCACTTGTCATATCTGTGGAAAAACTTGTAGAGCACAGATCAGACTCCTCAGACACCTTAAAACTCACCTGTAATCCCCACCCCTTGGCAGACATAATCCTCATATCAAGGGACAGCCAACTGATTTACCATTTTGGGCAGAGGGGAAAAGTGTCAGACACAGAAAAAACCAGAGGAGAGTGAGAAACTAAGGAAAGCTCAGAAACGGACATAACAGCACTGGTAGCATGGTCCTGAAAAAAAGTGTTGGGGCCAAGTTCTGGCTGTAAGTAAAGAAACTCTCTCCTATTATTTAATTTCTGCTTTATTCAAGGACCTTATACACCCTTGATAAACGAACAGGATTGCATTAAAAAAAACTGGCTACAACAATTTCTCCCCCTAACCAAAACAACCTTAATTCAAATAGCATAGCAGAATATTTTCAGTGTGACATCACTAGACCTATCATTTTCTTTTCTAACTTTACAGTAAAGAAAATGAACATAAACAACTTACCTGTTCACTTTTGGTCAGTCTAGTCTTGTTATGTATATCAGATGTGACTAGGTTGAACCCATGTTTCTCTGAGAGGATCCTCAAAAGTAAAACCACAGTTCGACTCCCACACTTTCCAACTCTGTTGTACACCACTTGGCTAGGGAAAGGAAGTACCTAGATAAAGAATGAAGACAAATACAATTAGCATATTAATATTTACATTTCTATATACTCAGAGACACCAAGGAAATGTGCTGCAACTCCAGAGAGAAACATGGCTAGGATACTGTATGCATCCCCAGCGCTGGGTGCACCCAAGGCTGGGGATTTTGACTGGGGTATGCCAATACTCCTGCTGGGTCTAAAAAAACTGGAGGTTCCTGGTGAGAGGGTCTTGTTCCTCCACTCAGGGTCAGGAAGGAAATTTTACCCCACAGTCAAATCAACATGAACTATAGGGGTGTTTTGGCCTTACTCTGCAGCAGAAGTCACAGTCCTTCTTGAGATCTTTTGAGTGTATTTTAACAAACAGCAGTAACAAAAAATTGACAGTCCTGATCCCCCTGCTTTATCTAGTAAATTAGGGTATTCTTGGTGTTTTGGAGCATTGTGCCTGGTAGTTGTGCAAGACTTCACACATTTAATAAGATAAACAAACACTTGTACAGCATGATGCAGATAGGGATGCTTCTGCCTGGAGCAGAAGCATGGACTAGATGACCTTCTGAGGCTCCTTCTAGGTCTACTTGTCTCAAATCCTATGATTCTATCCATATCTAAATTATAAGCATTTATTTCTACTAGCAAGCTACAAACATATGCCTTATATTCTTTAGCATATTAATGGAAGGCTAGATAGTTCAAAAGATGTAGATGAGATAAGGAGACTTCCACCTCTAGTTTGCAGATTAAGGTGCTAGCCCAGGTCAGTTGTGACTACGAGACACTAGGCTGCTGCTCAATGACTTATTAAAGAAATTGAAGGGGTTACGTTTGCTGCTTGTACCTACATTACAATATGCATTATCACAATCAGCCCTAACTGTTTCAGCAGAAGACAAAGAGAAACGTTCTCAGAATGTTATCTAGCTCTGGAGATGGCCCATTACAGGCACAGTTGACAACGCTGAAAGGACAATTTCAGGGATGCTTGAGCTATAAATGTTTGGTTGATACATTGTTTGAGGGCCAGATTCTAATTTCATCCATTTAAGTGCATAGGTAGGCTTTGGTACCTAAGAGTGAATTTATTCCACCCTGTTTGAGTCCCTGAACAACTTATTACAGGAGGCAGGTGGATACTCCTCTTTGTTATTTTTTGTACGACTCAGTTGTAAGGGCCAGAGGATTGCATGTTATGAAAGTAGATGCATTCATGAATTTTTGGGGACTTGAGCAGGGTAAAAACAGGCACATAAAGTCACTTGGATGTTCAATAGGTAGAAAAAAATCTTGCCTTTAGACTCCAAATTCACCCATCTAGCACCTCTCACCTATGTAAAAATTAATGATTAACTTTTTTCTGAGAGAGGCAGAATAAATCTTCTAGGAGACTGAGTATGAATTGGGCTTTAACAGCTATGTTGAATGTAGAGTTGAGTTGTTTCTAACTCATAAATGGATTACTTGCTCCATTCTGAAACACTGTTCAATGAACTGGCATCTCTCTAGTGCTATAAATAAAAGACATTCACAGGAGCTACTTGATGGGATCTCAAATGACCCAATGGTGAAATAAGTGACCTGAACCAAACCCACAACATATTCCTGTATAGTGTAGTACAATTTGAATAGAATCTTCTTCCTATCAACAAGGTCAGACAGTAATTTCTTACAAGGAACATTAGTCTGTTTCTAACAATGATTGACCATAATATTACCTTTGATGGAAAGGTAAGAGGTTTTATCTGGAGACTTGGGCATTTGTGTAGTAAAATGTATTTTTCGGTTTCGTCTCAGTTTAATTTTTAATGTTTTGGATTATCAAAATGATTCTTCCTACATTTGTGTCCATAATAAGGTAGAAAGTCCTAACACTTTATCTGAATGGTTTATTTGCACAGGGCCACAGGAAATATGTATTGATGTATTAATTCCTGGTATTATTTTTAGGGAAGGAAATAATACTAAGCACTCATAGCACTTCATACTCTCAAAGCTCTTTATAATCATTAAGTATTTCAACCGAGTATGGTATTTGAGAATAGGAAAAATGTTTAACACCCCTCCCCCAAAAACTGTATGCTAAACACTGGATATTTAAGTTAAGGGGAAAACTATGTGCTGAGTGATAAAGAACAGCTATTGCACTATATTTTTCTCCAAAACAGTTATGTTACAAAATGGGATTAGGTATGGATTGAAAGTAACCAAGGGAATCATGAGACAATCAAGGAAGACCACTTCAACCAAATCATATGTAGGAAGACACTAGCTTTAAAAACAAAGTGCAAGAATATAGAAAGTAGGGTAATAAAAACTTGAATTTTTAAAGGTTTGCAGAACCAAGGGGCAAGACACAGCAAAATCACAAAGGCCCTTATTATAATAACTGAAGTGAGAAACTGACAAGAAATTGCTACAGACAAGATCGATAGTCACTGAAACTTTGGAATACTGACCAGCCTGAGTAATGGGTATAATGATTATAAAGAGCTTTGAGAGTATGAGCTTCTCAAGGTTGTTGGGGGATGAAGGTGACCTCCTGTGCCAGCTGTTGTATATGGGAGCAGCAGACTCTAGTTTTAGTTCCTTTTTTTGAAAAAAAGTGCCAGGAGAAAGAAATAATTGATGATTTTTTATTAATAGTTACACAAGGGTTTCTGCTGCTGTTGGCTTATTCTCTTAAACAAAATTAGTTTTTATATACAGAAACATCTGCTCCAAGTTCCTTCCCAGTAGTCATATCTATAGTCCTGCAGCTGTTCCAAGAGAGAGAAGAAAACACATTGAATGTAATTTAACAGGTCAACTTTGGGAGATTTTGCTTTCGTCAACCACAAAATGAAGTAAAAAAAAACCAGTGGTCTCAAGCTAGCTCTGGATCATAAATCTTTTAAGTACTGTATATCCTGTTGTAATTTCAACCCTTTCTCATTAAAATACCATTATGCAATTATGCAGAATTCTTGGCCAAAAGGATAGCAGTGCTTACTTTCTCCTTGTCCTCTTTTCCAATACATTAAGAAACAAAAGTTTTCTTTGCTAGGTTGGTTAGCAAAACTAACTTCCTACGCATTCTGCAATTCTGGTTTCTCTAACACTATTTACATTAAGTTCATTACTTCCAGGCCTTTCATTTACAATATGCTATAACCTCTTTAAAACACCTTCTAGGTTTCATTGTTGGTCATCTGGCAACTCCTTAAAGGCAAAAATTAATTAACCATTATTTGCTTCTCTACTTTTCCTATTGTACCTCTCTTCAAGGATTCAATTAGGGACGCTCTTAGTTGTGCCAAACACAGGGCCAATCTGCAGGCTGAACCATGCCCACAGGCTGGCCCCATGTGCCAGATCCAGTCTGCAGGGCTGGTCCAGAGCAGGTGCTGCTTGCAGCATGTGTGCTGGCTCCAGCCTGTGCATATGTAGCACACACCTGCCCCAGCCCCAAACATGGCACACACTGTGTTTTAGATTCAGCAGGTGGGGTTAGTCTGTGGGCTTGATTTGGATCAGCCCCAGATCCAGTCCAGGGCCAGTCTGCCACAGGCACTGCATGAAGTGTGCCCCAGACCAGTCCCAAGCCATCTGTAACCCAGGACAGATGGGTTTCATGTGCCAGCATGCACTGCATTGTGGCATGTAGCACTGTGGGCTAGATGATACGGTTCTGTGCGCCACATCTTTCACACCCCTGCACTAAGCTGCATCATACCTTTCCTCCCTCCACTGGACCCTAGGCATTCCAATGAACTTGGATCTACAAAGAAAACTGTAACATATTTTTATTCTACCAGCTTTCATAGATTCATAGATATTAGGATCAGAAGGGACCTCAGTAGGTCATCGAGTCCAACCCCCTGCCCTGGGCAGAAAAGAGTGCTGGATTCAGATGACCCTAGCTAGGTGCTTGTCCAGTCTCCTCTTGAAGACTCGCAGGGTAGAGGAGAGCACCACCTCCCTTAGAAGCCCATTCCAGATTCTGGCAACCCTTACTGTGAGGAAGTTCTTTCTAATGTCTAACCTAAATCTGATCTCCATCAATATGTGGCCATTGTTCCTAGTTACTCCAGGGGGTGCCCTTGTAAATAGAGCATCTCCTATTCCCTGCTGCCCTCCCCTGGTGAATTTATAAGCAGCCACCAGGTCACCTCTCAGCCTTCTCTTGTGAAGGCTGAAGAGATTTAGGTCCCTCAGTCTCTCCTCGTAGGGCCTTGCCTGCAGGCCTCTGACCATATGAGTGGCCCTCCTCTGAACCTTCTCAAGATTCTCTGCATCCCTCTTGAATTATGATGCCCAAAACTGGATGCAGTACTCCAACTGCAGCCTGACCAGTGCCGCATAGAGGGGAAGCATCACCTCCCTGGACCTGTTCATCATGCACCTGCTAATGCACGATAAAGTGCAATTAGCCTTGTTGGTCACTTCGTCACATTGATAACTCACATTCATCTTGGAGTCAACTACAACTCCAAGATCCCTTTCTGCTACTGAGAAGGTCATCCCCCAGCCTGTAAGTGTGTTGGTGGTTATTTTTGTCCATGTGCAGCACTTTGGACTTATCTTTGTTGAACTGCATCCTATTTCGTTCTTCCCATTTTTCCAACCTGCCCAGATCTGCCTGGATCCATTCCCTACTCTCTGGTTTGTTAACTTTGCCCCATAATTTGGTATCATCTGTGAACTTAGACAGGGTGCTCTCCACACCCTCGTCCAAGTCACTGATGAAGACATTGAATAGCACTGGTCCAAGGACCGAGCCTTGCGGGACTCCACTGCCCACATGTTTCCAGGTCAATATCGACCCATCCACCACCACCCTCTGGGTGTGACTCCTTTCACTGATCTCTTACAGTTGTCTAAATTCTGATTTTCCCTTTGGGTTGTGTCAGTTGTTAAAGAAAAACTGGTGAGAAGTGAGTGTGTGCTACTGATGTGCATTCTACAGTACATATATAAAACTGTCCTATGAGGCTTACTTCTTCTGTCTTACAAGGCACTCTGTTCTTTAT